AGCCAGGGCCCCTGGTGTCCCCGGGGCCCTGGGGCTGCTCGGCTGCTCCCGCCACCTGCTCTGACCCCTCCCCAGGCTCGGGACCCGGGCCCTAGGCGGGGAGGCGAAGGAGGGAGTGCGACCAAGGCCCAATCATCTGGCCAAGACTCACCTGGGGTATGCAGGCTCCCCGCGGAGGCCCCGCGTGGCAGCAGCATTGGGAGGAAGAGGAGGAGAAGGAGGAGGCTCTGCGGGGCTCCTGTCCCCATCGCCCCCAACCTAGGAGAGGTCGCCCAGGCCTGCATACGACCTGTGCCACCCCGGGGTCGCTTCGGGGTCTCCCAGGCGACCTGGGGGGAGGCGTTGTCCTCTGACCTTGAATCCTCGTCCCACCCTGGGCAGCACTCTCGTCTGGGGCGGGGAAGTGCCTCCCAGGGTTTCTGCGCCTGGAGGCTCCTCTCTGCCCTGTCCCTCCGGGGGGTCTCCCGGGGGATCTCGGGCCAGGCTTCCTCCGCCTCCGCCTCTGGGAGCGCAGGGTCTGGCCCGGACCTCCACACCTTCCTCCTCCCGCTGCACCTCGCTCTGAGGTTCCCTAGCCCAGGATCTAATGCGCTGCTCCTGCCCCCCTCGTGTCCCTCAGCGGGTCCCTCCCTCCTGGGTCCCTCCCTCCCGCCCCCCATCCCTGAGTTTTCCAGGATCGCCCCTCCCCCTCCCCCTCCCCCTCGCAGGGTCCGTGCAGGCTCCCGTGGGAGTGTGTGGGGAGGACCCTAAGGGGGGAGATCCAGGACCCTCCCCAGAGCCACACGCCCCGGGACACCGTTCACAAGCACCCTTAGACGAAACGCACGCATCCCTCCCACCCAGTCACCCACTCGGTTGTCAGACACACGCATACCCTCTTTCAGATCCTCACGCCCTTTGCTCCCCAGGTCCCGACGCCTCTGGCCTGATGGAGGGAGTGCAGCTCCCGGCCCCTGCCCCCTCCAGACAGGCGGGGCTGGTGGACACTCAGTCCCGGACAGGCAGGGGCAGCTGGCGTCTGGGGAAGCCTTCTTCCGAGACCCCCCAGCCCAGGCTCGCAGGAGCCCTCGCAGCGCGATGGAATTCCCCGGCTGTACCCCTGCCCCCGGCGCGGGAGGGGGAGGGTAACAGGCCCGGGCAGGCGTGGGGGGAAATTCCCCGCCCCCTCCCCCTGGGCCCCACTCCTCCGAGTTCTCTGATCTTCCAGCGCCGCCCGCCGGCTGCCCCCAGGGTTCCGAGACCCCCCAGCCCAGGCTCGCAGGAGCCCTCGCAGCGCGATGGAATTCCCCGGCTGTACCCCTGCCCCCGGCGCGGGAGGGGGAGGGTAACAGGCCCGGGCAGGCGTGGGGGGAAATTCCCCGCCCCCTCCCCCTGGGCCCCACTCCTCCGAGTTCTCTGATCTTCCAGCGCCGCCCGCCGGCTGCCCCCAGGGCTTGGGGGGAGGCCAGCGCAGGTGCGTTGGAGGGTGAGGGAGGGGACAGGGAGGAGACGGGTGGTGGCTGGAGGCTCAGAACGGATCCGTCCCTCCCAGAACCCTAGCCCCTCAGTCTAACCCCTCACTGGGTCCACACCCGGCTATCCATCCTGGGAGGACCTGTCCCCACTAGATCAGTAGCCCCCCAAGATGGGGGGCGCAGGGAAGATTCTAGAAAGGCCAAGATGCAGCTGTCTGTGATGAGACAGGAGAAGACCTCACAGTTCGTGCCTCACACGCAGGCTCTTGGGTGGGAGGGTGGGTGGCACAGAGGGGAGCATTCCAAGGAGGAGGGCTTGCTGAGGGTCAAGGCTGGCACCGGGAGTGCCTCCTGAGGGCACCCGGTCAGCAGCCAGGCTGCCCGGGCTCGCCTCCTACTTTCAGGCACTTGACTAGGAGTTGGGTAACTGGTGACTGGGTAGCCGGCCACCCGTGGCCTGGTCCTCTTCTCCTTCCCGCCTGCGAGCACCCTCACTGCAAAGGCTCGGTGGCATCACAGAGAGCATCCCAGGGCCGCAAGCCTGGGCCAGGGTGATGGGGTGCACTGAGAGCCTCCCCACCTGCTGTCACAGCCTGTCAAGGAAAGGGTGAGTGTGGGATGGGACAGCCAGGTCCCCATGTGAAGAATGGGGCCCAGTGGGGGGTTAGAGGAGGAACTGGCCCCTTCCCTGAAGGGAGGTTGGACCAAAAAGGACTGTCCACTTGGTCCACAGCACTTCCATCGCCCACTCCACTCCCTACTGCCTGTCTCCTGCAGAGGGTGGGTGGGATGAGAGGAAGGGGGTGCTCAGTTCCAGGACTCAGGCTCTGAGAGGAGGCTCATGGACCCTCCAACAAAGGAAGGCCAGGGCCCTTGCCCCTGCTGAGGGGACCCACAGACCGGGGAATTAAACAACAGAAATGTATTGTTTCACAGTCTGGAGGCTAGAAGTCTTCCGAGAGCTGTGAGGGGGAATCTGTTCCATTCCTCAGGATTGGATTAGGGCTCTTCCTACTCCAGGATGACCTCATCTTAACTAAATACAACTGCTACGGCCTAATCGCTGAGTTGTATGGTATGTGGACTATCTATCTATCTATCTATCATCTATCTA